GATCAGCCCAGAGGTTGTTTCAGGGTTTGATCTGTGAGTTAGTCGTGCCCTGACTTAGATCAGCCCAGAGGTTGTTTCAGGGTTTGATCTGTGAGTTAACCATGCCCTGACTTAGATCAGCCCAGAGGTTGTTTCAGGGTTCGATCTGTCAGTTAACCAAGCCCTGACTTACAGTAGACCAGCCCAGAGTTTGTTTCAGGGTTCGATCTGSGAGTTAGTTGTGCCCTGACTTAGATCAGCCCAGAGGTTGTTTCAGGGTTCAATCTGTGAGTTAACCAAGCCCTGACATACATTAGATCAGCCCAGAGTTTGTTTCAGGGTTTGATCTGTGAGTTAGTCGTGCCCCGACTTAGATCAGCCCAGAGGTTGTTTCAGGGTTTGATCTGTGAGTTAGTYGTGCCCTGACTTAGATCAGCCCAGAGGTTGTTTCAGAGTGTGATCTGTGAGTTAGCTGTGCCCTGGGTTCGATCAGCCCAAAGGTTGTTTCAGGGTTGGATCTGTGAGTTAACCAAGCCCTGACTTACAGTAGACCAGCCCAGAGTTTGTTTCAGGGTTCGATCTGGGAGTTAGTCRTGCCCTGACTTAGATCAGCCCAGAGGACTATAGACTATTAATTAAACAAGAGTTTGTTTCAGGTTATCAATAAAATTTGAAGGTTTTTTAAAATCTTATTACTAAGTCTAACTAGATTTTTTTATCTATTGGCCTGTAAAGTGTTGATAAAATTCTTAATACACTATTAGAAAATTCAACCAGAATCAATCTAGAATCATAATTAGCATATGACAACCAAATTTGAAAAGTAAAATATTATTCAAATTGGGTAGACCAGTTGCAATATGTCTTTTATCGAGGAAGAAAAATTCAACATTAATTTAGAATCAAATAAAATAAAAAAAACTTTGGTTAGAATTTTTGAAAATTTTATAACCACAATAAACACTTGCAATACCTCCTAATATATATAATTTAGTCGAAATAAAAACATATGAACTGTTTCTCATGACCGTCTTCCACAGCTGGAAATATACCCTACAACATACAACATTCAATTTTAATTTCCAACAAAAGCAGACAAGAAACAATCACTTTTGCCAACCTTTTATCATTTGATTAAATTGAAATAATTGAAAAAAATTTTGCTTGATTTTTTCAAAATTAATTTTTTCCCCTCAGAATTAATTTTAATCTGTATCTTAAATACTCTATCATTTCCTCAAGAAGAAGATAATAAAAGGCTAAGCTGTCACACCTCTACCAAGCCTAGAGGCAGAAAGGATGTATTCACTCTTTGAATTTGAAACTCAGACAAAACATAATCAGAATTTCCTAAATGGATTTTCATGGCGTGAATTTACAGTCAAAATATTTTTACGATCTAACTGCGATTATGAAATAACTTGAAATAGRTTCCTACCCTTTTATCTATTGATCAGCTTTGAATTCATTTATTTATTTHTTTAAAAAAATCTGTTTTACTGCTAATTCTTTAGACATATGAGAAATAGATTTCCAGAGCTTAATTAATCTTTTCATTCTTTACATTTTTAGTTTTAAGTAGTTATTATTTTGTGGTTTCTGAAAAATCCAAACTTGAGTCTATGATAATCAACAGAGATTTTATCTTTCATTGTATATGCTTGCTTCAAAGAACTCTTATGATAAATGGTCTGTAATGAAACCCGAGGCAGAATCCAATTAGTGATATTTTGAAAACAATTCTCAAAATGATTTCCTCTGTGGTTGAGTGCTTGGAATAGCTTTCATGTTTGGTCTTGTGCCATTAAAATCCATGTTCATCCTTAAGGTGTGTCTGTATGCCATGAAAACAATATTTTATTCAATTAACTTAGCRTACTCAAACATAAAGATCTTCCAAAGAAGAGAAAAAAATGATAAGAAACTGCAGATTTTTGTAGCTTGAATTTAGGATTATAAGTCATGGAAAAATTAAAAAATATTTTGAAAATATAAACAAAACTGGGATAAATGAAATATTCCTTGCTGATGTTTAAAGACTCGGCAGTGAAACAGATTAACCGCAAAATTTTAAAGCTCTACTGTACCTGTGTACAATTTTATCATTATTAATTAAAAACAACGATAATATCAAAAACATTTTTTTAATGTGAACTAATGTTAAAGAGAAATTGTAAAATAAAAATTATCTAATATTTGAAATAATAGCATTACAGTAACTAGCTGTAAATCAATTTTTAAAATAATCAAATTTTATTTCACCCTGGAACAACTCCTGGGCTGATTTAAGTCAGGGCAAGGCTAACTCACAGATCAAACCCTGAAACAACCTCTGGGCTGATCTAAGTCAGGGCATGGCTAACTTACAGATCGAACCCTGAAACAACCTCTGGGCTTGTCAAAGTCAGAGCATGGCAAACTCACAATCAATTTGGAATTTAGTTTGTCGATAGCAAAGGTTTTGCRGAGAGAGGAAAACCAGAGAACCTAGAGATAGATAAAGACTTTGTTTATAAGAGACTGAGACTTTACAGATTGAACTAAGAACTGAAAAAACTTGTCTCTCAAATGACTGGCATTTGGATTAGTGTAGAACTCCATGTTGTTAAGTTTAAACATTTTCAGATACTTCTAAAGCAAAGGCAGCACTATTCACTCTGAYATTTTTAAAACCCTGAGTGTTAATGCATCTGGGGATTAAGCCGAACTTCAGGACAGAAACAAAGATTTAGTCAAGTGAAATGAAGTGTGAACAATTAAGATATTACAACATGTGCTAACACTAATGTAGTTTAATTACTATATCAACATTCATGRCTCCATTCTGGCCTAGTTTTGATTTGAGGGACGTTTCATACAGACATTTCTCATACAGAAAAATATCAACACTTGTATACTCARTGGTGTATAGTATAATGATATGGTCACAGCCTTTGGGTTTATGTATGATTACAATATCAATATAATATTCTTATTGGTGCCATGCTGAACTGGTTTCAGTAAGAGTATTTAAAATACCAATGCTTGCATACTGTACTAGTATTATGATCTCAATAATATACTGTACGCTGACCTTAATGTAGGTAAATGTATTGTTTCTATATCAAACATACTTATTATTGGCACCATGCTGAACTGGTTTCAATAAGAGTATTTGAAATACCAATGCTTGCATACTGTACTAGTATTATGATCTCAATAATATACTGTATGCCGACCTTAATGTAGGTTAATGTATTGTTACTA